TAGCAATTGCAAAAAGCCAGTGTCTAGCGAAAAAACTGTCATGCGGGGTAACTGTCTAGCGAGGCACCACTGTACATGAAAAAAAAATCCCCTGAAAATAAGCCATAATGTGTTTTTTGGAGCAAAAATTAATACAACACCCTGTCTTATATAATTCCCGGGGAAACAGGGTATTATACTGATACTTTATTACTGTAATGATAATTTTGTGCAGTTGTCATTTTCTGTATTCAACCTTTTTTCCCTTCCTATACATGAGTCATTTTTTAAAAATATTTTTACCCTGCCTTTCTCCTAAAAAAGACCCAAGGCTGTACATCATTATGTAAACCAGCAGCTTAAACATTGTACTCCATGACCTGCATCTTGTTGGAGATTTACACATGTTTAAGCTAAATGTTTCAGCAGCTAATTACTATTAATGAGATGCCAGTCATGTTCCTGCTTGCATGATTGGGCACAGGAAACTATTAGCACTTCCTTATTTGGCAGAAATTTGCTGCTACAACTTAACACCATTTCACTTACACACATGTAAGTTTTCAATAGGATTCTGGCCTGTTTGTGGAAGTGTATTGGGGTGCCTAAATGTCACACTGAAATAAATCTGTCAGTCTTAAAAGTACAACAGTATTTTTTGTTTTCTTTTTTGTACTTCATAAATTAATCCCTGAACTGTTTTCTGAACCGTTGTATTTATAAACATGCTGCCCAAGATAAGGGATTATTTTAGTTCAATTAAATTTACATCCATAGCTTAACATTTTAGATGAAGGTTTATTGTAATGAATGAGTAAATTCCTGCAGAAAGTGTGCTTTAAATTAGTCTTATACCTGTTTGAGGTTGATCAGTATGAATGTTATGAACTTCAGTTAGCCTGGATTGATGGATTATATGGAGGCTAATGTCAGCAAACATTATGATTTAATGGCATGCAAGCCCATTCAGATATATGCCATTAGGTGATTTAAGTACTGTATCTGATTAAGTTTCTGCTATTCTTTTTGAAAACACAAATATTACAAATACAGTGGTGCCCCGCATAGCGACGTTAATCCATTCCAGGATTAACGTCGCTATCCGGATTCGTCGCTATGCGGGGGGAGGGAACCCATAGGAACGCATTAAACGGGGGAAAACTCACCGCTAAGCGGGAATCCTCCATAGGGCCGCCATTTTCGCCACCTCGGTAAGCAAGGAATTGGCGCGAAAATGCTGCGTGCGGCCATTTTGTTGATCCGGCGGCCATTTTGGAACCGCCGAACAGCTGTTTCCTAAACATCGCAATGCGAAGATCGGTAAGCGAAATGCTTACCGATCATCGCAATGCGATGTTTTGCCACCTAGAACATCGCAATACACGAACAGCTGTTTCCTAAACATCGCAATGCAGAGGTTTTGCCACCTAAAACCGCAATGCGATCACAAAAAACACGTCGCTATACGGATTTGTCGTTAAACAATGCACTCGTTAAGCGAGGCACCACTGTACCAGTACAGCAATGTACATATGGAGTTGCCCATTTAATAATATTTTATTTTAAAATTATGATGTAGTATTTCATTAGATGCATGAAACATTATCTTTGGTTGTCCAACAGATGTGCGTATACATGTGTGAAATGTACATTGTATAGCCTTTTAGGCACGGTGTTTTTGCAGTTCCAGATAGAACACTGATATTCCTCTTGATATTTTATGATGTGTCTAAGTACAAGATTAAAATAACAGTTAACTAAGATTATGCTTTTTATTATTTTATGTTTCAGGAGCATCAGCAAATCAAAGGAGTCAGTGGAGCATTTCTAACATGCTCCATCCAAATGTCCTGTATGCTGCCATTATAAATAGCTAACTCATGGGCAGAAGAGCACATAAAGAAGATGTATCCCTTCTGCATGCACCTTATCTTTTTTAAAATGTAATTTATTGAACTAAAATATAAATATATATTATGATGTATGAGCTATATATGTGCTCATAGTATTTATGTTCAAGACCCAATCTGATTTTTAAAATGGCATTTGGTTATCTTTATCATACACTTCAAGGAAATAGAAACCAGTAAAGGAAAAAAGGCATCAATACATACATTTGAAAATCTCAGACTGCTACACCTGAAAAGAGTATTTTACTTTTTGTTGGATTATTATGTCGGAAGACAGCCCATTGGAGGAAGACATTTGGGAGTACAAATCTATAAGGAAGTTGAAATCAGTAAACCACTACTCAGAATCCATTTCAGAAAATGTACAGAAAACGAATGATGAAAAGGGGAAGTCACAAAGTGGCAATAGGAAATCACCCAAAGAAAAAGAGACCCCTAAGGCAAAGCAGGGATCCAGACGTAGAGGTAGCCAAACACCCTTAAAATCCGAGCAGTGCTACAGTGTTTCCAGTGATGACCCTGTGGTGTCCTCACAAGAAAGCTTATTGCCATCTTCTGCAAAACAAAAGAAAAACAAGAAGATGCAAAGCCCTTCAAAACCACGGCCGGTTTATGAAGGATACTGCCCAAGTTGCCAGATGCCATTCTCTTTATTATTAATTGAGACACCTCAGTGGCATGTTACTGAATGTTTGGAAAGCTCAAAGACTGCTGAACAAGGTACAGTGATGAGAGGGAGAGAGAGGGGCTCTTTCAAATTCTGTACACTATTTTCCTTTCTTTCCAAAGAGGCTGTGTTCTTGTATCTTTAATAGCAGCTCCACAGTAAGAGGCTGATAAGGCAGTGCTTCTTCCTTCACTGTTTCCATAACAGGATAACATTCACCTGTTAAATATCTGTGTCAGGCAGCTGATGAAACATGGGATCTTGATAAGTGAAAAAGATGTGGTAGCCCTACTTGTAAACAAATTATTTAAATTTTCTTAGAACAGTTTTCAGAAACTTGGAGCAACCTAAAAACCAGAACTGGAAGATTAATGTATAAAATATAAATGTCTATCAGATTTCAGAACACAAAATTCTGCAGTTCTGGACTCATGACAAGAGGTAGGCCTTAATTGCAAATTGCAAACCAAGTCTCAAATATTGCCGGAAATCCAGTTGTACAGTTGTTTGTGCATAATGTGAAGCTGTAGAATTGGTGGAGAAAACTGGGGCAGGACAGAAATTATGTCCACAAAGTGCTTTCACAGACATGTGCAGCCACAATGTTAACCACACAATCAACTGTGCAACAACAATATGAACCTACCAATCAGTTGCGCGATACTGGCTGCCTTGGCTTAAGGCCTGACATTCTTCTGTGGATTTAACTTTACGTTATACCAGGTTGAACAGAATTTAAGCCAGAATGCTTTATTTGCCGAATTCTACCTGTTTAACTGTGAAGCTAAAATGTAATCCAGTTCCCCTGAAGTCCGTTAAGGGCATACGTCGCACTTATTTTTGTCTGAAAGAAAGGACTGCCAAGCTGCAGAGTGACCTTTTATTCTTGAGGGACCATTGGAAGGCTTCGGATGAAAATGTTATTGTGCATCCTACCTGCCAGTTAAAAGTGTAATAACCCTGGTCTAAATAACAGATACTTGTATGCAACTGATATTTCCCCGATAAGAGAATTAGGAAGCAGCTTTGTCTTTTGCATAGTAAACATGATTTCCTTGTGCATATTTACACATGTTGTATAGTTCTGTACAGAATTGGATGTTGTCTTCTTACAAGTTGTGTTTTGAGGCTTCGATGAAGCATAGACTGAAACCACTGAAGCTTAATTCGAAACACATGTTCAGCCTGATTATGTAAGGCCACATGGTACTGAAAGATGATGTTATACATTTTTGCATGATTAATTGTATATAATTACTGGTGCTTCTAGGACTTTCACATAATGTTTATATAAACCTTTCAAAAATGTTGATGTTCTGTAGGTGTAAAGTTGTATTTCCCCCTTGCCTACTAACACTTTCCCCCCTTTTTTTTCTTTGTTGTCTTTAGAGTGCCTTGATGGTCTTCTCTGTACTTCTATCATTCCTTCTCATTACAAACGATACAGTCATTTCCTTCTGGCAACAAGCAGAGCAGGGGAAAATCTCCCTGAATTTTCCCCAGCTAACACAGATAACAATTTCTTCAAACATGGTGCTAGTCCATCAATCAGTTGTAGTGCTTACAATTTTGGAGTGTCACAGGATCCGAATGATTCACAGAACATGGGAAAACTTCCGAAAGAGTGTCTTCTGTTTCCAAAACAGAGTTCAACAGTTGCAAGTGCTTTAGATGTAACCAGTAAAGAAGCTTACTATTTAGAAAATACTGAAGAAACTGAACTCAGAATACATTCTGTGAATGGTGCAGGGCAATTATGGTGTCATAGCCCTCTTCGGAATCTAAAGAGTCAGCAAGACTCTTATCAACTGAATACACTTGTATCAGAAAATGACTTAAGTGACTCTTACATTTCTTATTCTCCACTTAACACAGATGGGGAAGAGACTATAGTAAGGGAAGAAGAGGAAGATGTGGTAGTAAAAGAGAAGGAGTTGGTAGCAGGGAAAACAAACCAGTTGAAGAAAAAGCTATTTGATATTAGAAACACAGAGGACAAGAGTAGAGAAGTTCTAAGTTTCTTATCTCATAAGCCACTTGGTGCCTCAAAACCAAATCAGTTTGAGCCTGGGAATGTTAAAAAAATGCAAGCTTGCACAATAAACAATGAATCATGTAAGACACTACATACAATTGAAAGTGCAGATGGAATTTCTAATTCTGTCTCCCAAGATACTGAGGCTAGAATTCTCAATTTAACAAACATTTTTGATCCATTGAAAGAGTCCACAGAAAAACACTCTTTCCCTGTTAAATATAAAAGACCCGAGGAGACATTTGAGAGGCTTAAATTGAGCTCTTCTAGCCTTAATATAGGTGAATGTGGGTGGGGCAGCAGTAATGATTGTAATTTGGACTCTGCAGATTCAGCTGCTATATTCGCCTTGATAACTTCAGAATTGAAAGAAGGTGTTAAACCTTTTTTACCCTGCCAACGTGATATTCTAAAGAAGTCAAGTAGTTGCTTAAACAGTGAAGATAAAACTGTTACTGGCACATGTAAAAATAGTTTGGCTTTTAACAGTTTCTGCTCATTAACAGAAAAAGAAGGAGGGTTTTCTAATAACACTACTATGCCGATTACTCACAGTCCAGATTCTGAAATGCTACCTTGTGTTTCTGGTGCAAACCCTCAAGTCCAAAGCACTTCTGCCAAGGAACTGAAACAAATGGACATTGGCGTTTTCTTTGGGTTACAAGCAAAAGCAAAACTGGAGGATGACCAAAAGAAAAATCTTCAGGGAAGTACAAAGCTGCTAGGTCCAACAGCTACAACAGGAAGGAGGCCCAGATCTCAGAAAAGGAAAGCTAAAGGATCTGTGGAAGACTCAGATGTGGTCACCGAAAGTTCAAGTAATAATACCATGCCTGCATATCCAGCATCAGGTCCACAAAAAAGGTGGAGAAAGAGATTTAAAGAATCATGTCCTGGTGAGGAAGAAACAAGGAAAAAACTGTGTCCCTTCTATAAGAAGATTCCAGGTAGCAGGTTTTCTTAATATCTTAATTTAGTTCTGTATAGAGTGATCTCATTCTTGTGCAGCTAAATTTTCCTCGTAACTGAAAAAGATGTTTCCATTTGCACTGTGAAATGCCTTTCTGAAGTGCTGCCTCCTGTATTCTTTGTCCCCACTAAAGCACATAGCTCTTCTGTATTAATCAGCAATTAAAGTGTGTAAGTGATGGCATTTCAGTTTTTAATTAATGACAGTCCAGTGTAAATCAAATTTTATAGAGATGTGTAGTTTTATAGTAAGATCTAAGAGCAGTTATTTTATTTTCTGAAACAGTAGAACTAAAGGGAATATAAAAGGATTTAGAGTGCTATAAAATTACATTATGCTTTTATTAGAAAGCACCCTAACTGTGCAGTCCTACATACATTTAAATGTGATTAAGCCCCACATAAATTAGTATGACTTATTTGTGAGCAGACATACTTACACAGCACAGGACTGTAAGCTCTCAAGGAGTTATTCTTACTCATCATCTACAGCACTGGTTCTTAACCTTGGGTTACTCAGGAGTTTTGGACTGCAACTCCCAGAAGCCTTCACCACCAGCTGTCCTGACTGGGGTTTCTGGGAGTTGCAGTTCAAAAGCATCCAAGTAACAAAGGTTAAGAACCACTGATCTACAGCAGTGGTTCTTAACCTTTGTTACTCGGATGTTTTTGAACTGCAACTCCCAGAAACCCCAGCCAGCACAGTTGGTCGTGAAGGCTTCTGGGAGTTGCAGTCCAAAACTCCTGAGTAACCCAAGGTTAAGAACCAGTGATCTACCGCAGTGGTTCTTAACCTTGGGTTACTCAGGTGTTTTTGAACTGCAACTCCCAGAAACCCCGGCCAGCACAGCTGGTGGTGAAGGCTTCTGGGAGTTGCAGTCCAAAAACACCTGAGTAACCCATGGTTAAGAACCACTGATCTACAGTAAGGCTGGGCAAAATGTGGCCCTCTAAGATGTTGTTGGATTGCAATTTTGGGCATTCCTTACCTTCTCTTATGCTGTCCTGGGCTGGTGGGAGTTGCAGTACAGCAGGAGGGCCTTACTGTACCCATTCATGATATGCAGCTTTACAGTATAATCTTAGATATAAATACTAAAAAAATAAGCCCTGCAGAATGCAGCAGGACTTGTTCACAAGTAAGTGTGCATAGGATTGTAGTCTTACAAAGTTTTGAAGGTGGTTAATGTAGATGATGCAATACATTTTATTGGAATGCATTTTCTTCTGCATGTATCAGAAAATGCATAAATCATGCATATTATTGTACTCTTAGGGATACTGAATTGCATAGATTTATAAAAGAATGTAACAACTCACAAGTTTATTATCACTCACTTGAACTATATCAGATATGTTTCATATTGAGCCATACAAACATATCTTGAGAACTGTTCCCATAATTGGAAACAATCTCCCATCTCTGCATAAGTCAGGAGAGTTCTTTTCCTTTCCTTTCACATTCTTGTAGACTGATATCCACTATCCGTTATGGAGGAAATCCTCTCTGGCTTTTGAGCTCCATGGAAAAGGGAGTCTAAGACTGTGCTAAAAATCCCAGTGTTTTAAAGAGTGTTTCTAATTTTGCTGGGTTTAATGCATTTGTTTAACAATATTCTTTCCACTTTAAATTGTGGAATTTTGTGGGTGGATAGCAAAGAGAGTTGAGGATTTGCAGGGAAGTAAAAGAAGCTAAAATGGATTGCTAACAGCATACAGTATTTATGTCAAAGACTACTGGATCCGGTCGGATTCCAGGATGTCATGAGAGGGGTGACGGCTGACCTGGCTAGCGCTCCTGTCAATGCTCTGGTTGACAACTGATTTGCCGCTGCCACCAGGGCCATAGACACGATCGCGCCTATACGCCCTCTCCGTCGTAGAGCTCAGCCAGCCCGGCGCCCTGGTTTAACCAGGAGCTTCGAGGGATGAAGCGAATAAGGAGAAGGCTAGAGCGTAGATGGAGGAAGAACCCGACAGACCATAACCGGATAGCTGTTAAGGTTGCAACTAACCTTTACCTGAATAAGGTCAAGGCTGCATGTCGATCATTCTTCGCTAACCAGATAAGCAAAGTGTCCATCCATCAGGCGGAGTTATTCCGTATAGTGCGCGACCTATCCGGAACTGGTTCAGATGATAGGCCTCCCCCTAGTTTCTCACCTGACCAGTTAGCAGCCTTTTTAAAATCTAAAGTGGAAGCCATCCGCCGGGAACTCTCTCCTTTTTAAATACAATGAGTCGAACAGAGATGTCCAGCGCTCCGTCTTGCCCTGTGATTTTCGACTCCTTTCACCCTGTGACGCCTGATTCTGTGGACAAGGTGCTTGATCGCTGTCGAGCCTCCTCCTCCTCCCTTGACCCTTGCCCGGCCTGGCTAATCAAAGCAGCCAGGCTGAAAACAACAGAATGAGCCACAGCAATAATAAATGGGTCTTTCTTGAGGGCAGGTTTCCCTCTGCCCTCAAGGAGACACTCATTAGGCCCATTAGAAAGAAACTTAAAATGGCAGCGGATGAGATTGGCAATTATAGGCCCGTCATCAATGTTCCTTTCATGAGCAAAGTGGTCGAGAGGGTGGTGGCCGACCAGATTCAGGCCCACTTGGATGAGACAAATGCGCTGGATCCATTCCAGTTGGACTTCAGGCCGCACCACGGTACAGAGATGGCATTGGTCGCCCTGTACGATGAACTGTTGAGGGAGGCTGACAGGGGCAAAGTGTCTCTGTTGGTACTTCTCGACATCTCGGCGGCCTTTGATACCGTCGACCATGGTATCCTCCTGGGGAGGCTCTCCGAGTTGGGAATAGGTGGCTTGGCGTTAGCCTGGCTCCGTTCCTTCCTGGAAGACCGACTCCAGAGAGTACAGCTTGGGGAGAATGTCTCGGCCCCGTGGAATCTCAATTGTGGGGTCCCACAGGGGTCGATTATCTCCCCAATGCTGTTTAACATCTATATGAGACCGCTGGGTGGGGTCATCAGGGGGTGTGGAGCCTCGTGTCATCAGTATGCTCCACATCTCCTTTTCACCAACTGCCTGGGGGCCGTACTGCAGTGGATGCAGGAAAATGGGCTGAGGTTGAACCCGGACAAGACAGAAGTTCTGAGGGTGGATGCCCTTGGGGTTTGTAGCCTGGGTGGCTCTCACATTTGGGGGGGGGGTGACCCTGGCTGCTAAGAGTGGGGTTCGCAGCCTGGGGGTACACCTGGACCCGACGCTCACCGTGGAAACCCAGGTGGCATCGGTAGTTCACACCGCCTTTTTCCATCTTTGGCGGATTGCCTGGCTGCGACCCTACCTTGACATGGGGGCACTCACTACCTTGGTACATGCGCTCGTAATCTCAAGATTAGACCACTGTAATGCGCTCTACGTGGGGCTACCTTTGAGGCTGATGCGGAAACTTCAAGTGGTGCAGAATGCAGCGGCCAAACTCCTTACTGGAGTGAGAAAACACCAACATATTTCTCCTGTTCTGGCCATGCTGCACCGGCTGCCCATCCGTTTCTGCATTGAATTCAAAGTTCTAATGCTTACCTATAAGGCCCTAAATGGTTTAGGACCTCGATACTTGGCGGAGCGCCTATTCCCATAAAGATCTACTTGGATCACCCGCACGAGTCAGGAGGTGAGGCTGAGGAGCCTCCTGACGCCGAGGGAGGCCCAGAGGGAAAAGACTCGAAGCCAGGCCTCCTCGGCAGTGGCTCCTCGCCTTTGGAACAACCTTCCTCTGGAGATTCACGAGGCCCCTACGCTGGGTACTTTCAAATGCCAGCTGAAAACATGGATGTACATCCAGGGCTTTCCTCCTGTCAACTACTGATTTCTTTTGCTTTGCTATTTTTACAGTGGTGCCTCGCATAACGAGCGCACCGTTTAACGACAAATCCGCATAGCGATCTATTTTTTTAGATCGCTAATGCGATTGCATTGCGATGTTTTAAGGGGCAAAACATCGCATTGCGATGATCTGTAAGCGTTTCACTTACCGATCTTCGCATTGCAATGTTTTTTAAACAGCTGATCGGCGGTTCCAAAATGGCCGTCGGGTGCCTAAAATGGCCATGGCAACCACTTTCGTGCAGTTTCCTTGCTTACCGAGGGTGCGAAAATGTCGGCGCTATGGAGGATCTTTGCTGAACGGTGAGTTTGGGCCCCATAGGAACGCATTAAATGAAGTTTAATGCGTTCCTATGGGTTTTTCCGTTCCGTTTAGCGATGTTTTCACATAGCGACGATTAATCCGGAACGGATTAGCGTCGCTATGCGGGGCACCACTGTATTTATTTATTCCTGCACTATTCGTTATTGTATGATAATGTTTTTATGCTTTTTAATTGTTTTGATATTCTGTAAGCCGCCCAGAGTGGATACAGAAATGTTTCCACAGAAGCATTGCTCCTGTTGGTCTTGCAGACTGAGAAAGCTGGTAGCAGATTGTATTTGCTACTGCTGTTTCCTTTTGAGTCTCAGAAAGCCATATTTATTGTCTTTTCCTCTGTTGTGATGTACAACAAATTACTGCTGGCAGTTCTACTGCTTGTTAGCTGACTGGCTGTTCTTTAATGTTTTGTTATAGGAACAGATTTTGTAGTAGATGCATTCCAGTACGGAGAAATTGAAGGATGCAAAGCTTATTTCCTCACACATTTCCATTCTGACCATTATGGTGGCCTAACTAAAAAGTTTACATTCCCAATATATTGCAATCAGGTATGTGTGTTGTGCAGTCATATGAAAGGTATAAAGCAAATGAGATTTATGCCATTTGTCCATGTTATACTGCAATATAACCGGTGCACAAAACTGAACTGGATAACTGATTTTGTGTCCTATTGATTTTTTTTACTGAGTCAACTCAAAGTGGGGGGCTAGGAGATATTAGAATTTCATACATTACTTAGGCCTTGTCTATTTGTTAATGTTATTCTTGAGTGGCAAAAAGCAGGTTAATATAAATGCAGCAAGCCCTTGGGACACATAATTGGAATTTCATTGTTAATTATTATTTACTGAAAGATTTTTAAGGATTTTACCAAAAAATCCTCCAAATTACAAAACTGAACTGGATAACAATTCCTTTGCCAAATAACTCTGCATTTCACACAGTGCCATCCTTGTCCCTTTTCCCAAATCACCAATGTGTTCTGTGTTCTCTATCTTGAAAATGATATACTAAAGATTTTCCATTCTGGCTTATACATACACTTGTTTGCCAACTCTCAGAGTATATAAAGATAATGAAGGGAAAAAGGGCAAGATAAGGAGATGAAAGAAACCACAGTGTAGTGGGATGCTATGTAAAAGCTATGTAAAACCAAAATTCATTCAGGGATTCTGAGACGTATCTTCTTTCCTTTTCATTTTAAAAAAATACTTTTTGATGAGATATGAGATCTAAAAGGTCTCTTTTTTTACCTATAGATCTTATGAATCAGTAGGAATTATCTGCTTTAGTGTAAGCCTATACCCAGAATTTGCTAATCACTGGGCTTTGAAAGCATTAAGTTCCTATGTTTCCACCGAGTGCTTCCAGGTTCGCAAATAGCTGAAATTTCTTAGTTATTTGTAATATAATGGGGGAATTAAAGCTCTACAGAGCTCTGTTATTCTAATGTACATTCTCTTTGGGCACTCCTTTCTGTTGATTAATATGACCACTTTTTTTAGTCAGCTTTGAATGTCTATACCTGCACTCAACTTCCAACTGTAAAAGTAGAATCCTTTGTGGCTTGCTTTCATCATAAGCTGCCTTGAGTCCCTGTAAGAGAAATAGAAAATAATTAAAGAAACAAAATTCAGGTTCCATAGTTGTACATAGCGTTAGATTTAAGAAAGCAGTACCTGCCACTTCAGCTTTATGATAAAATATAATTTTTCAAATGCATGTATCCTTTAAATGTAACATGTTATAATAAATATGTATTGTTAAAATGTTTTAAAGTGAAGCTTTTCTATATTAATAATGGCATTGCCTGACCTATTTGTGAGACATCAGTGAAGCAGAGAAATTCTAGTCTGCACAATGATTTAACCAAATGGAGCTGCTTCTAAATTGGAAAAGATATTTAAGTGAGACCCAAATATGCCTTCAACAAATATAAATGTATAGATTTAGCTGATTGTCTGATAAGTACATCACAAAAGTGCTTGGGTAATCAGGTTTGTGCTAATCTTGCAGGACATCTGTAAAAGAACTAGAAGAAATCTTAAGATTTCTGATCTCAACTGAATTCTGAAAACAGTGCTTCTATACTGTTCTTTTACTGTTCTTTCACAGTTTGATTAGTATAATCTTTGTCTTGCATCAAACTCTCTCCATCAACAAGGAGATGATTAAAAAACCCATTCTTAGAACAAAGATTTTTTAAAATCATCCCTAAAATATTGCATGGTTTGCCTAGTATTTTTGGCATCAGCTGCAAATGAAATCATAAAGAACTAGTAAAATTGATTAAATGGGTACAGTGTATATTGATGCTAAACAACTTGCTGTTTTTCAGATTACTGGAAATCTGGTGAAGTGCAAACTACAGGTGCCAGAGCAATACATCCACATTCTGCCAATGGATACAGAATGCATAATAAATGGCATCAAAGTGGTGTTACTTGATGCTAATCAGTAAGTATCAGTAGACAGTGCTAAACTGAGTTTATTGAGTTTATTATTGAGTTTAAATGCGGGGTCATAAGTTTTTGGTGGAATTTTAATTGCTGGGATTTTAATTTGTATGGTAAGTGTTGTGTGTATTTTAACTTTTTTTGTAGTGGTGTTGTCCAGTTTTACCTTGGGGAAGAGCACCTCATTTCGTTGCACCCACTTGTGAGTGCAATGACAAATAAATTTCTTATGTCTTATGTCTTAAACCAAAGATTCAATGCATCATAGCTAAGTGATGTTCTTAAATACAGACCTCTTGCCATTTTATTCTTTGTTCTCTGCTTTTGGCAGTTGTCCTGGTGCTGCAATGATTCTTTTTTCCCTTCCAAATGGAACAGTTATATTACACACAGGAGACTTCAGAGCAGATCCTTCTATGGAACGCTATACTTTTCTCACTGATCAGAAGGTTCATAGTCTATATTTGGATACAACGTGAGTTGATTCTGATAGTAAAACATTCTTGTCCTTGATCAGTATCCTTTTTTTAAAAAAAAATCTGCTTACTTTATCATACTTTATATAGTAATGTACTACTGTGTTTCACTGTAATCAGCACAATAAAATCTGTGGTAATTTTCAAAAGATTACTATTTATCCTGTGGACTGATTTTACAGCCAGCATTGAAAGAAGTAGCTTTATGTCACTTCCATTAAAGTTCAAGTAAGTGCTCAGTGGTTGTTTCCTAATGTACATGAGGCATCTCTACTCGCTATTACACTTTAGGGAGACTCACTTCTTCTGCTTTCCCCCAGTTTGTCAATCACCCTTTGCACAACCACCACACACCGAATCACCTATACTTGTGTTGCTGATTCTGTTGTGCTACCGGAGACAACCATCTTCAAACCTTTTCCAGCATTTGCAGTTGCCTTTATTAATTCTCCCGCCAACCTAGACGTTCGAAAGCATGCAAATGCAAGGAGATAAATAGGGACCACCTCGGTGGGAAGGTAACAGCGTTCCGTGTCTAAGTCGCACTGGCCATGTGACCACGGAAGATTGTCTTCGGACAAAAACGCTGGCTCTACAGCTTGGAAACGCGGATGAGCACCGCCCCCTAGAGTCGAACACGACTGGACAAAAATTGTCAAGGGGAACCTTTACCTTTACCTTTATTAATTCTGCCTTCCAGCCAGTGTGACCTTGACCCTGCTGGTTTTCTTTAAAATACTATAAAATCTCTTAACCATGGATTGAGTTGGTATTTTGTGAATGAAAACCATCTTGATGAAACTACAGCATTGCCACCCTATCACATTGGTGCAATGCCTTGATTGACCACTGTGATTCAAATCAGAACTACCATATTTTTCCATGTATAAGACACCCGCTTTTCTAAATCAAAATTTCTTTCTTTGCAAGAAAGTGGAAGTGGAAAGTGATTTCTGCTTTCCCCTTATATTTTCATTGCAAAAAGCAACTTTCCCCTACACGTTTTGCGAAGAAAATGCAGGTGGAAAGTAGGAATCGCTTTCCCCCTCCATTTTCTTCGCAAAATGTGGAGGGGAAGCTGCTTTTTGCAATGAAAATGTAGAGGGAAAGTAGGAATTGCTTTCCACCTCCATTTTCTTTGCAAAACGTGGAGGGGGAAACAGGGATCAAAGCACTTTGATCCCTCCCCCCCATTACTTCCGAGTATAAACAACCCTCAATTTTTCCTTATTTAAGGAAATTATTTAAGGAAAAGGTGTTGTTTTATACACAGAAAAATATGGTAATTAGAAATGACAAGATGAAGAGTGTTTATTTTGGACAAATTAAAAAGGATTTATTTTGAGATAACAAGAAGGTAAAGAGAAGGTAAAGGTAAGTTTCTGGACATGCTATTTGGATCAGAAATAAACTTTATTATTTCTTCAACACACACACACACACACAGAGAGAGAGAGAGAGAGAGAGAGAGAGAGAGAGAGAGAGAGAGAGAGAGAGAGAGAGAGAGAGAGATCACTTTCTGCAACACAAAGGCTTGACTCCTTCAACACACACACACACACACACACACACACACACAGAGAGAGAGAGAGAGAGAGATCACTTTCTACAACACAAAGGCTTGACTCCTTAACAGACTCTCAGCCCTACTAGAGTCACCACACCTAACCTGAAGAGATGAAGACCTTTGCACTAGCCTTGAACACTCATTTTTACTCACAAGGATATAAAATGGAATACAGTAGAACAGAAGAAGATCGCAAAGGACTTCCACTCTTTTTCCTAATCCTGTTTTCTGCTACAGTATAACTATTGTACTTTGTGTATTCTGTTCTATTGAGAGCTGGGTTCTCACATTTGGAACAAATCTAATAATTACTCTTTACACTGTGTTGTGTTACACAGCCTAGAATCAGCAATAGTGAGCCTATGGCATGCATGCCACAACTGGCACGCAGAGCTCTTTTTGCGGGCACGCGAGCCGTAAGTCACCAGATCGCTACTCCCCCCACTGCAGCCAAACCGCAGGAGGCGGCTGCAGCTGCTGTGCTGGCACTTCGACGGGTGGCAGGCCAGGATCCAGAGCAACTAGTGCTAGCGGCGGATCCTGCCCGGGATTCCCCCTTCTACCACCACTTCTGGTTCTGCCACTTCTGGTGCCGCTGCCACCGCGGCCCACCACCCACTTGGTTTTTTTCTTTTTCAGTTTGGGCACTTGGGCCCAAAAAGGTTTGCCTCCACTGGCCTAGATGCTGCTGTTTTAGCATGTGGTTGCAACTTCAATACTGTATATTGTTTTTTGTTGAATCTTTGACAGCGCTAGTTTGTAACTTTAAAGCAGTCCTTTTAATATCTTTTCCATTCTCGCTTCTTAGGTACTGTAACCCTGAATACACTTTCCCCTCCCAGCAAGAAGTCATCCAGTTTGCTGTCAATACTGCCTTTGAGACAGTAACCTTAAATCCCCGAACTTTAGTTGTTTGTGGCACGTATTCCGTCGGAAAAGAAAAGGTCTTTTTAGGTATGTAAGTGAGTCTTTGAGTAAAACTTATAGCAACACTGCATCTGAAGTGTTAACATAATTCATGCCATGCATTTCTATGCGCAAACATTCAAAACGCTTTCACTTAACTTTTTTTAGACAGCATTTTTGTAAAAGTACTTAAAAATGGAAAGTACTTAGTCTCCTTGGTGCTGGGTGCAGAGATGAAAAAGTGGGTGACGTTAACTGATTGCTCATTGTTGCCCTCTTTTAGTAATGCCACAATTTAAAAACACTCGTGGTATTAATAGCCCTGTAAATGTAACACATTTTTTAACATTTAACCTCAGCTTCTTGGTATGCACGTTAAGTTTCCAAATGGCATGTAATTTATTTCTATGCCAAGTTGGAAACAGCTGAAATGTGTATGTCAGTGTTTTCTGAAAATTATTTTCTAACTAAATGAATCTTTCAGATGCTTCTTGAAAGCTTTTGTGGCCTAAATTTAAACCACTGCACTGCTGAATCCAGCAGTCCTGTCTACTGAATGTGTCTTTCAATCATGCAAGGAGATAAGTTTTTTAATAGGTTTTTCAAGATGTTATTAGTCACTACCACTGCAGGTCACTCTGCAGTAGGGCCATTAGGAAACCTCGACCACATTCCTCTAAAATAACCCATGCAAGCTGCTAGTCTCTTCATTTTCATTTGCTTCCTGGAGTGGAAAAATTGTTTCACTGTGGCTGTTATTTCAGCTAGAGAAAACCTGAACATAAATTGTTAGTCCTAAGCACTAAAGAAATCAAATTTGGTTGATGTTTAATTAGAGATCTTGCTCCAGGTCCTCACACAGATGACTTGAAATTAGAGATCTTGCTCCAGGTCCTCACACAAATGACTTGGAAGAGAATGGTACAGTTGGAGGCATGTTCTGCCATCTGAGGTCAACACCATCTGAATCCTCTTTATCTAAAACAAGACTGTTGGCTTGGCTTTTCTCTTGCAGCTTTTAGTCTGTCATGGACAAAGTTCAGTAAGGAGTTTGCCTCCCCAAATCAGAAGTGTACCTGGGATGACATTGTCAATGAAACATATACCTGAAGCAATTTTTACTGTATTTTACTTGTCCAGTTGCATTTTCATCATGCCATAACCTCCCACCTCTCATTGATTTTGCAGCCATTGCTGATGTTCTAGGCTCAAAAGTGAGCATGTCCAAAGAAAAATACAAAACATTGCAGTGCCTGGAATCAGCTGCAATTAATTCCCTCATCACCTTGGACTGGAATAATACTTTGCTTCATCTTCTACCTATGATGCAAATTAATTTTAGGGTAAGTGTGTAAAAGTTATCATTTGTCCTTTTCCAACTAATCTTATATAGCTTGCGAAGAGCGACAGAAACTTAGTGCCTTGTTCTTCACATTTAGTGATTTTTTTCAATAACTAGCCATTTTTCCAGGACAACAAACAATTGAAAATTGATATCCAACAATCTAATTCACAGAATGTACAGATTTTCTCTTTAATGCAGGTTCATGAAACAAAACATTTCTCTTACAGTTCTAAACTATTCAGATTTTCAAATGCAATGCTCATTCTTCTTTTCTTTTGTCATATCAATTAGTTCAAAGTTTTAAAACTTAATTTGGGTTGGGGGAAGTTTAGTTGTTGGCCTAAACCTAATAAAAGAGCCAAAATGTAGTGATTTCAGCTCAAAATAGTCCCAGAGAATGGTTTTGAGGCCAATCTAGGTGCTGTGTTTCTGAAACATGTAGAGTACAAACCAGACCTCCCTGGATTCAGTGAAGGTAATGATTACAAATATGTACTTATGAACTGTTTTAGAATTGGATAAAACGTCATTTCCAAAATTGTTCAGAAAGAAAACTCACTTGCATCAGTTTTGGACTAGTATCTTTAGTTCGTGTTTGGGTTTGAGCCAAGAAAGAGAATTTATCTAATCTTGCTTCTGTGCTGTGCAGAGAATTGACATTTTGCTTTCAGACATTTCTTGTGGTCCAGTGTAATTGACAGAAAATTACCAGAAAGATCCATGTCAAAAACAATGACAATGCTGGTATGATGCTTTTGCTAATGGTTCCATTTAAGTATTTACACATCTCTTCAGAACTGGCACCCTGTAATCACTTTTCCTTACACAAAGCCTTGTTAATATGTGAAGATTCCCAGATATGTTTATATAATAGTTCGTCTTAGTCGTTTAGTCGTGTCCGACTCTTCGTGACCCCATGGACCAGAGCACGCCAGGCCCTCCTATCTTCCACTGCCTCCCGGAGTTGTGTCAGATTCATGTTGGTTGCTTCGGTGACACTATCCAACCATCTCATCCTCTGTCGTCCCCTTCTCCTCTTGCCTTCACACTTTCCCAACATTAAGGTCTTTTCCAGGGAGTCCTCTCTTCTCATGAGATGGCCAAAGTATTGGAGCCTCAGCTTCAGGATCTGTCCTTCCAGTGAGCACTCAAGGTTGATATAATAGTTCAGCTTTATCTATTTGGGCAGTATAAAAGCAAAAAGAAAAAAGCAAATCATGCTGCTATGCTTATATATTGCCCCATAGTACATAAAGCACTCTCTAGACAGTTTACAATTTAAATATACTGACTGCATATTCGCGAAGGCTTTCTCGGCTGGTTCCAGAGTACAGGTTGCTGTCCTCTGAAGATGCCGGCCACAGAGACGGGCGAAACGTCAGGAAGAACAACCTTCAGAACACGGCCAAAGAGCCCGAAAAACCCAGAACAACCATACTGACTGCACATTGCCCCCCCCCCCCACACAAGTTGGATACTTAATTTACCGACCTTGGGAGGATGGAAGGCTAAGTCAACATCAACTGGAGATTGAACCTGGGTTGTAAGCAGAGTTTTGACTGCAGTTCTGCAGTTTCACCACTACGCCACAAGGCTCCTTACTTTTTGAGGGTTGCCATTGATATAGCTAGAATTATTGGTCATACAGTTACACCCACAGGTTATAGTGTTACATAAGATCATATAGTAAAAGCAAATTGTGCAATTAAGGTAATGAACAGAGCCATCCAACTGCAGAAAGGATCTTTCAAGTGGCTGTAATTTCTGTTGCTTTGCTAAAGAGCTTACATTTTCCATTTTTCCATTTGTTCTTTTTATAGCTGCTTCTGACATAATAGCTTATACTGGTCGATTCGTCTGTGTCACTAATGCTCCCTGCCCCCCCCCACTTTCTTTGCTTCATATTTTCAGCACCTAATGGTTCTGTTGTAAAGGACAAACCACCTAATAATATCAGTGCTCTCCCTTTCCTGCTCCCTCTGTTATTTTTAACATTAATACCCAGCTTCTATTTCAATAGAGAACATTTTACTCTTGTCGTGTTTACAAATGAATGTTTTTTGTGCATCAGAAGGAAAATAGGAACAGGCTTGTACCTTAACAACATTTATATTAATCTCATAGTAGAGCAAAGTCTGCAAACTGTTTAGAAACTGTTTCACAAAAAACTGTTTAGTGGTAATACTAACAGAAGGCATCTGCTGATCCTCTGGCAACAACAGTAAGATCTCTTAAAATTCTAAACCAATTTTTTTTAAAAAAACAGATCCTACAAAAATCTTCTGTTGACCGTGCATTATAAAGATTAAAGAATCAGTAGCCAACATGCTGTTGCTCAGCATAGTAAATTGCGATAGAGTAGGCTCATTGAATCAATGGGCATTTGGTGAGTTAAACTCTTCCATAACTTTCATTGGCCAAAATCCTGTTGCTTAGTGTAGTAAGTCATACTAGAGTAGGTCCATTAAATGAGTAGGAATTTAGTAAGTCAACTCGTCTGCAAGTTCCATTGATTCAAACAATCCTTCTTTAACTGAGACTTACAGTGCTATGAAGGAGTTGACTCACAAAATGCCAACTGACTCACTGGGCCTATGCTAATGCAGTTCATTATGCTAAGCAACAGGCTTTGGGACAGTGTAAATTGAGAAAAAGAATATGATCAACAGTAGGGAGTCCTTGGAATTCTGTGTAAAGAGCACAGACAATGAGAATGTATAAAACTGCAGCAGGTGCTGTATATTCTTAAAAGGTCTGAGGACCCATTCCTATACCCACAAAGCTGATCACCATCATTTTGTGTATGTCATTTTTATTGGAAGCCTTTTTGCAGATTCTCAATAACCTGGTGTCCCTTTCTGTCAACAGAATTTGCAGAGTCACTTGAATAAATTCGGTGAAAGATTTGATCAGATTCTGGCTTTTAAACCCACTGGATGGACTTACTCAGAAGGGTGTTGCTCTCTGAATGATATCCAACCTCAGACCAGAGGAAAAATCACCATATATGGTACAGTAATTTCAAATAGTTCAATATGTATAATTCTTCCGTGACAGCTTTTCACATAATGTAGGGATGATCATCGGTCATCACTGGAATTACTAGGATAATTTTGCATTCTGAAAACCCATTGCTTGTGAAGTTTTGACATTTTTCTTAGCAAAGCAAGACATATAGGGAGGGTTGTGTGGCTTGATTGATGTAAGAATAAGACTTCCTGAAGTGTAATTCACCATGTTTAAGGCAGCTATATGTTCAGATGTTTACACATTCACTAGGATGTTGCTTTTCAGAAAGGTTTCTCCATTACAGCTAGGTATATATGTGGATACTGGTGGATACAGGCTTGATAGAGTCCACTTACCGAGTTCAGTTTCAGCAAGATTAAAAGGAGTAACAGTAAAGATAAATGCTAGAGACTTCTCTCCACCATGTTTAATTTGATGCTTCACATGAAGATCAAGACATTATTTAATTAAAATATTTGTTTCAAATATCTTGTAAAGAGTTCTGGCTATGGACCTTGATTAAATTTCTTTTATGCTGTTTCATCTGCAGGGATACCTTACAGTGAGCACAGCAGCTTCCTTGAAATGAAACGATTTGTCCAGTGGCTGAAGCCTCAGAAAATTATCCCTACTGTAAATGTGGGCAATTGGAAATTAAGAAATGAAATGGAGAAACATTTTAGAAACTGGAAAATGGAGGCTGCAGGGTGGAACTAGATATGACATTGAGGCTATGGCAGCTGTATGCTATTTCATTTCAATTTTTCTGTCTTGTTCTTTAATTCCAACCCGTTAACTTTGTATTGGAACAGTGGTAAAATACAGGTATTTCCCTGTTCCTTCATCAAAAAGACATGACTTTTTATGAAGCACCTTCATGAGACTATTGAGATCCAAGCTCCTGATGGCATTGATCACTTGATTGGTAGTGGCATGGGTAGAAGAGATCAAGATGTCTGTATGGATCTTTAGGGACCAAAAAGTATCACAGGAACTTAACGTGGGATTTCATGTGAAATATTTTTGTTCCTCCCTCCCCCATACAAAATGAGTGTCTAGTTCAAAAGTTGATTTCTAAAGCAGGGACATTGTTTTTGCCAAATAGTAAGCTAGCAAATTGTCTAAAGTGTAAGGGATTGATTTTAGCTGGAAATTCCTAAAATCGGGACCAAGCATTCTTTGTTCATCAGTTTTATTTAACAAATATGGAGAAATAATACATCATTTCTCCCTCCTTGCCCTGCCAATATTCTATAATGCAGGCCTAATTGCACAGGCCTCAGTTGTCTTGCAAGATGGTAGCCTAAATCTGTTCAGTAGCTATGTCATTTTCAGCAAAAAGCTTCTTATTTTCAAAATTCACATTATACTTGTGACTGCATTATGTACAGTGCTATAGAATCAGATGATTAAGTTATAACTATATGCATTAATGGAAATCTTTTGTAATCTTCTACCTGTCTATAAAATAGATATTTTAATAAACAATATTTAAATATTGCCTGAGCGTGTTTTTTTCCAGCTAACAAATTTGCACCAACAATTACCAAGGAGTCATAGCGGCTTCTGTCTGTTAAAGGCACATTGTGGTATTACAGCTGTATATGTGTTAAGGTACGTTTTGCTAGATCAGATTAAGGTTACATAGAATCAGAATATTTGAGCTGACTCAATGGTCATATTGATTCCAACCCCCTGCTCAGTGCGGGAATCCAAGACAAAGCAGGTGTGACACTTTCATTTGTTGCAGCTAATAGCTCTTACTTAATTTCCTTTTAAATCAGTAACCATGTGAAGTACCTTCGTGAACCTTCCTAAGAGCTCCATGGCACAGTGGTTAAACTGCAGTACTGCAGTCAAGCCTCTGCCCACAACCTGAGTTTAATCCCAACACGTTCAGATAGCTGGCTGAAGCCTTTCATCTTTCTGAGGTTGGTAAAATGAGTACCCAGCTTGCTGGGGCAGGGGGCAAAGTTTTGTTTGCATAATTATACTGGTCATCTTTCCGAGGTTGGTAAAATGAGTACCCAGCTTGCTGGGGCAGGGGGCAAAGTTTTGTTCGCATAATTATACTGGAAACCACCCAGAGAATGCTCTAGCACTATGGGGTGGTATACATGTCAAAAGAACAGCAATCATGTGGATTTGTGTTCCCCACCATTTGCTACTCTAAAATGGGGGAGTGAGGATATCCATATTTATAGATCTGTGTTCTTAAGTAGAGACCCCACTGTACAGTAGATCTGTATAAAACGACAGTGATAGGCAATTGTATTTAAAATCTTTTCTCTAATAGTTCCAACATTTACCACCCCATGCTTAAGTGAACTGTACATCACAATCAGCTTTTTCACATATTAATCTATATGAATGCAAAGTCAGGTAGGGGATCTTTTCTCTGCCAGTGCAAATCACATCATTTTTGTCTTCCTTTCATATGCTACTTTTATGGGCCATTCACCTAGTATGGAGCAATCCTTTTAGAAATTATCTTGGTTTGCTTAGCTTTTTCATTGCCTTATTGCTTAAGCAGGAAGGGGCAAAGATTTCACAGCTTTCCCTCTTATCAATGTTGCAAAAATAGGAGAAGGTCTGAATCTCAAGTATTCCTTTCTGATTAAGTTTCAATTCTGTCTAGAGTAAAGGATTCTACAAAGGAGCTGTATAGACACAGAAGAATCTTGGGGGAAAATGTATTGGGTTTGGTAGGAATCAGCATGACCATTTAATACCTTTTAGCCAGTTAATTCTGTCTTAATTAGAACTGTCTGTTAGCAAGGTTTATCTAGTCATCAAAACTGGGTAGGTATAATTTTAACTGGATTTTTCTTCATGGGAAGAGACATGGGCTCTGATTTTGTACTAAAGGATGTGTTCTGAGTGTACAGTACCTGCAGATGACAGAGAATTGTTCCCATCTTTCTGTTAACCTTGCTATCCTTTTGTTTGTGCATGTTGAATGTTGACTACAACTGTTCTATACACCACCTATCTTTTTGACTAGCAGCATCCTACTTTTCTCTTTAGACATCTGAAAGCATTATCCCCTCATTTCCCAGTCTCTTGATAGGCAGTGTTCTGGCTCCGGTTTTTCTTAACATCTGCATCAATGACCCACCACTACACCAGAGCACCAAAAGTTTTTTTTAATGTTGATTGTCTGGAGGTCTGAACTGTTGCTACTGGGAGATAATAATACGTTCCAGCATTTTGTCACAGGTTTCACTTCTGTTGACTGATAACCAAAATTTTACTATTCCTTGCTCGTCTCTAACAATTCCTTTTATGCCACTAGCTTTCCCATTAAAGTATTTTAGTTAGGTTCTGCAGAAGCAATTTATATAGAGTAAAGAGCCCCTTTTATTTTATTTTATTTTTTGCCTCAGTCAATTGCTATGTCTTGCCCCTGCAGAAATGATGAATAAAATACACAACCCCCCATTGAGCTCCTTAATTTTATTGTCGTTTTTTCTGATCTGAAATTGATGTTGATCTCTTTCATTCTGGAGAAAAAGTTATATTTTCTGTCCATGGACATATTTGTACATACGATTTTCCATAGGAAAGCCTCCAGTTGTGCAAGACGTAACATCCTATAATCTGAATACATTCTAACAACACTTTTACCACATAGCCTATTGTTTGTAGCCTTGGATCAAAGGAATACATGTTACACTAGGGAGGGCAAGTATGTGGTCCTTCAGATGCTCTTGCTCTGGAACTTCCTCAGCTTGGCGACGCTGCTTAAATTTGATGGGAGGACCAGTCCAGCAGCAACTGAAGAGTTAGTTACACATCTGGCACCTCAATAATACACATGGATGTTTTATTTCTTAGCTGGGTTGGCGTCCCCTCATACTGAAGTTCTTGTCACTGTTATCAACAGCTGTGACAAAAGCTACTGGTTCAAGGTAGGCAAACAACATTTCTTCCTGCTTGCAGGAACCATTTAGATGTAGAATAGCTGTACACTTGTTAGTAAATCTGACAGATATAGAAAAATTTGCAATTTTTTTTCTTTTGACATTTTAACTGAGGAATGTTGAGAATCAGTGAGACTCTTCCCTTCCAGGTGAGAGGATAACGAGTGCTATTATTTCTCATTAAAGTCTTTTTAATTTTCACAAACTGTTTCCATGCAAAACGAATGCCATTTCTCTTTGATAAGTAAAGCACCCAGCAAGCACAGCATGACTGGCAATTGTTAGAAAAGACACAACCTCTCCAGTGCTTCTGATCCTTAGAAGTCCATAAAACAGAGCAATAGCTCCTTCCTTCCTTCCCATAAGGAATCCAAGGCGCTCACAACAATTAAAACCATGTAATAGTAACAGGCTTGAATTATATACAAAAACTATATTCAAAACAATCAAGATGAAAACCAAGATGAAAGCAATTTTTGAAACATTTTAAAAATATTGTTTAAATAGTGAAATTTAATAAAAACAGAATTCCCTAGACCCCCACTTCTTGTGTAAAAGTTGGCTTGAAAAGGAAAGCCTTTCCCTGACTATGGAAGCATTTCATTTGCATTAAAATGTTGCCCAGTTTTGTTTAATGTGCTTTTTAAACGTCATCTTTGTTGACTTGTCACAAACAGCACAAAATACCTTCACTTCTCACAGAATGAGGGAGTAACTACCCATGACAGCACAAAATACCTTCACTTCTCACAGAGTGAGGGAGTAATTACCCATGAAAATGAGACAAGCAAAAATTACATCTTAGAAGCAAGAGGAGATACTTAGTTTTGGATTGGTCAATTAATTAGAAAAGACAGGTCTGGTGTACCATCACTAAAAATATGAACCTTTTTGTCCCTTTGCCTTGTATATTGCTTGGATTCCTGCCTCCAGGCTGAACGGTGAGATGTCAGGGTTTCCCATCTGTTGAGGTCTATTCCTAAGGCCTTCAGATCTCGCTTGCAGATGTCCTTGTATCGCAGTTGTGGTCTCCCTCTGGGGCGCTTTCCCTGCACTAATTCTCCATACAGGAGATCCTTTGGAATCCGACCATCAGCCATTCTCACGATGTGCCCAAGCCAACGTAGACGTCGCTGTTTCAGTAATGTATTCATGCTGAAAATTCCAGCTCGTTCTAGGACTGCTCTGTTTGGAACTTTGTCCTGCCAGGTGATGCCAAAAATCCGTCGGAGGCAACGCATATGGAAGGTGTTCAGCTTCCTCTC